TTTCATCTTCTATTAAGTGCTGAGATCTACTTAGTGTCATTTTTACTGTACTAAGGGAATTTAGAAAAAACCTGAAAACACAGTGTATGTGAGCCTTGCTCACAAATGATGATGATGCTTTGTGCTTTATTTTCCTTTACCTAGAGCATATAATGATTGCATCTCTGCAGGTGGGCCCTTATATCCTTGATTTATAGTTCCTTAACATGCTCTTGGTGTAAGAAAATTCTTGACCTAAAATTGTGCTATTTGCCACACAGAACTGGAGCACTTTTTAGAGGGGGCAAATTTTCTTGAGTCTAGTATTCAGTCAATCATCTCTCAGTTGAGAGAAAGGGCTGAGCACCATAGTTCACTTGCCAGCACTACAAATACCTTTCACACAGCTTTCCCCCCATTCATTTCTCTATTTAATTTGTCATTGTCTGTTTTGGACTTTTCTGTTCTCAGTAACATTCCAACTTCTGCATGAGCAGCAATAATCTGTAGAATTAGGTGGAAATTTGTAGGGGGATACAGTATGGGTAAATGAAAGTGGTATAGAATGTAATCTTACTCCCTAAAGAGTTGTAGCTGAGTTAATTATTAAGTATTAGAAGCAGGCCTGATTTTAACAGGCCACACCTTTAGCTAATAAGAGGAGTGTTATAAAAGAGTGGATTGGTTGGTTAAGGGGGAACTGGGGTCAGTGCCTAGAGGAAATGCCTACAAGAAACATCAAGGAGGTATGAAACTCTAGCAATATGGAACCCTTGCAATTTAATGACAATAGAACTCTTGCAATATAAAGATGACAAATGGTGACCCTGACATGATTTGGGAAAAAGGACTCAAATGCTAAACTGTATGACCCTGTGGATTCAGGGAAAAGGACTTGAATACTAAACTATTGGTAAAATATATCAATTGCAGCTATTAGTGTTTGTTAAATATGCCTACAAAAGATTTTGAAGATAAGTACTTTGTAAACTGAGAAAAGCTGCAAAACTGAACCAACACTCAGAAATATATATATTTGTACTATAATATGTTGTCTGAACACTTGTATAACTCTTAGTTCTGAATGAAATGTATGAATGTGTCATAATGTTAATTTACTTGAACTAGTATGCTTCTAGAAATGCTGCAACTACATAATTAAAAGAAAAAGGGGGAATTGTAGGGGGATGCAGTATGGGTAAATGAAGGTGGTATATAGTGTAATCTTGCCCCCTAAAGAGTTGCAGCTGGGTTAATTATTAAGGATTAGAAGCAGCCCTGATTTTAACAGGCCACACCTGTAGCCAATAAGAAGAGTGATATAAAAGAGTGGATTGGTTGGTTGAGGGAAACTGGAGTCAGTGCCCAGAGGAGATGCCTACAAGAAACATCAAGGAGGTATGAAACTAGCAGTATGGAATCCTTGCGATGTAATGACAATAGAACTCTTGCAATATAATGACAACAGAGATTCTCTTTAGATTTGATTTTGCTTTTGTGGAGGAAGTACTGTGCTAGTAGTTCAGTAGAAATACTTGCTCTGAGCTGTGGATTGCAACTGAATTGGCAATTAACAATCAGTATTAGAGGTGTTGCTGCTTAGAGTCATCACTGAGATGTTGGCAGGTAGGAGCTGACTGGTGCCAGTGAGTGAGGAAACTTTAGTGCCCAATTGCTTTTTGAGTTGCTTTTCATTTGTGGCATCAAACCTCAGTTCCTTTCTAGCTTTGCTTTAAATTTTATTATGAGTCAACAAACTGGTGCTAGCTTTATGCTGAACATACTTGGAGGAAAAAAAGCATGAAAAACCAAACCAGGAATTTTTGATAGTTTATCTGCAGAATATTTCTGGTAGGTGTCATTGATAGTGGGTGCTGTTGGTTAAGAATCTCTCATTTGGAATTTAGATGCAGGAACATTTTTGTTTCCTTTTCTTCATCAATAGAAGGAAGGACCAATGAAATCATAAAAAATGTATCAAGCCAAAGCCATCACAGTAAATATTTACTGTTGAGTTTCCAGAATGGAGCTCTGCCTTAAAAACAAGAATCCCCCCAAGTCCACAGGTTTCTGAATTTCAAATGTGTTCAACAGTTATCAATATTCTTTTCCTGCCTGCCCTGAAAGCCTGGTGCACTCTCTCCTTCCTTCCTTTTGTTTTTCATAGATAATCTACAGGAAGAATGGTGTTCACATTCTGCCATCTCATTTTCAGTCTGCAGTGGTGCAATTTGGAGCATTCTAAGTAATGCTATTTGGATTTGTAAGGATGAAGAGAATCTGCAGCTCAGGCTGTGATTTCTGTAGGTTTCACAAGGAGTCAGGGTACAACATTATTTAAATTGGGGGCTGTAGCATTTGGGCCATTCTCTGCAGGTGCTGTGGGAGAGAGTAGTAAATTATCTGAAATTTGTAGGTTTATGAAAATGTAGTATTTTCTTTTTCTATCACAAAGATAGAAAATCAATCTTTCATATTATAGGTAAAGTAATATTTGAGGTTTCAAAGGAGATTGAATTTTGTTGTAGTTGTTGTGGGTTTTTAAAAATATTTTGTTCTGTTCATATTGCATAAATCCTAAGCAATGAAGCTTTCTCTAACCATCTGAAGGGTCCTGAAAAAAATAATTATTTCCTTCAGTCAATCTCCTCTCCTGCACATCCATCTACAGTCCTGATGTAAAGTCTGCCTGATGCTTTTTCTTTGTGTGCACATGCACACATTCATAGACTACTGCAAACCATCATGGCCAGAGAAAGAACAGAAAACAGAGAAAAAGAAGAGGTTTGGGTGTTCTGTAGTTGTCAGAATCTCTTTTCTCCCCAGTCTTTACTGTGCCCTGTTAGATCTTACATTTTGGGTGGGAAGGGATATCCTGCTGCTGTCTGGATTAACAGAAGATGGTTGGGTTTCCTTTTCCTTGTTCTCTCCAGTGGGATTTCAGGAGACACAGCATCATCATCAGGATTTCCCCCACAAATTTCTCGCTGTAACAGGGACCAAAATTATGATGGTGCCCTTAAACTCTCCTGCCCATCAGTGGCACATAATGGTTGTGTTTTTTAGCCTTTTTTCTGGAGGTTTTTCACTTTGTCTGGGATGGAAAGGAGTTTGAATCTGGAACAGTGATGCTCTGTGACCTTTCAAGCTGAAATCTGTTGTGTGTTTACCTGTAATGACACAGGGCTGCTCCTGTTGAGCAGCTTTTTCCCATGGTCCTATGCAGAGGGAACCATGGAGTGTTCCCAGCAGGACTCTGAGCATTACAGCAATAATGCAGAACATGCACAGAGTTTTCACCATGCCCTAATTGAAATTGAAGTCCATTCTCACATTACAACATAAGCAGTGTCAGATCCCTGTACTTACAGAGCCTGGCTCTGATTTTTATGAAATGGTCCAGCTGGTTAATTAGGATGAAGTATGTTTTGAATGGGTTTGTGCTTTTTTATTTTTGTGTTTAATATTGATTAGCTCTTCTGACATAACATAAACTTGAGTTCATTAAGTACAAATTAGGAATTGACATAAACAGAGTAGATGGGTATGTCCAGAGTGCCCAGTCAAGGGTTTTATTTGTATTGTAAGGTGGCTCTCATGAATTTTAATGAAACTAAATTAAGAATTAAAATTATTCCACTTAAAAGGGAGTTGGAAATAGGCAGAACAGTTAAGGGCACACATGCAGCAGAACATTAAACTCTTGATTTTGGTATTCTTTAAATCACTGGACTGTGGTTATTTTAAGAAAATTATTCTATGTCTGTTTCTTTTCCTTCAGCCAGACTTATAAACAGAATGGTATCAAACAGAATTGGAGTTTTTTGTAAGTTGTAAAATTCTTAGATTGTTCCTTAGAGCTCGTGATAAAAAATAACAGGTCTCATAAATTTTTTGTGAATCTTCTGTTGAAAGGCAGAGTGCTTTTACCTTCCTGAGGCTTGATGGTGTCTGATAAATAGATTTGCTGGCTAAGTTGTTGACTTGAAGTTTGGCATTTTTTGCCTTTTTTTATAAAGAATGAGCTAAAAGCCGAACAAAGGTGAAATTGGTGTTGTTTCTAAAGCCTTTTAGGAAGTGTCTGTCCTTCCATAAACAGGTTTCAGCATAATATGTGATGTCCATGTCAGGCTGCAGGGCTGGCACTGCCTGTGTCCTTGCTCTGTGGTGTGGCAATGGCAGCTGCCCCAGGACCAGGATAAAAACTGAGAAAATAAAAAAAAAATCCAATGACATTTCCCAAATTGTCACCTTGCTTCCAGCAAATCATATTTCAGGGACATAATGACAGAGGAGGTGGTGAATGATCTCTCTGGATCAATCAAAGGGTTGTTCTGGGCTTGAGCACTGGTGATGATGTGGGGACTGTGTTGGGAAGCTGCTCCCATGCTGTTCATTGAGGGGAAAGGCACAAAGCCCCAAATTTCCTCACAGAAGTAAAGGCTCAGTGCTGCTGAGAGCAATGAGTGCAGAAGGCTCATGCTAGAGAATAATTTTAAATATTTACTAGCCAGCCATTTCCTCTAAAATGAACACAGAGACAAGGTGCATGCAGTTGGGTGTTGCTCCAGTCTATTACTTCATGGACACGAGAATGAGAGACCAGATTCTTTTAGCTTTGTATCATCTTTATCTGCCCCCCAACTTTGAAGCTTTTCAATTTGATTAGATAGTGAAGTGGTGAATATTTTTCAAGAGAATGAAGGAGAGCAGCATTGAATAAGCCCTAACTCTTTTAGCAACTTTTTTTGGTTTTTTGATGTTGAATGTGATATGGAGAGGAATTACGTAAAGGGAAGTCCAGCTGACTTTGTGCTGCACTCTTTAGTTTTTCAAAGGATTAGGCAACTGTTTGCCTAAGCTGCAGTTATTTGTTAGATTGCCTTTTTTTCCTGAGATAACAGAATAGATGGGTTACGAAAGCAAATTTGCAAATCACTTCTGTGGCCTAATTTAATTGAACTTGTGAAATGCACAGTAGTGAAAAATAGCTAACAAGGAATTAACTTTTATTCCTCCAGACACTGGAAGCCATTTTGAACTTCAAGTACTCTGGGGGACCAGGACATGCTGAAGGATACTACAGGAACCTTGCCCTGGGTCTCCACGTGGAGGTGGAGCCCTCCGTTTTCTTCACTCGCATCAGTACCCTGCCAGCAACAAGGTGAGCCCTGCCCTGACTCTTGGAATCTCACTCATTGTCTCTGTTCCTTTGAATGTAACTTAAAGTCCATATTGGAAACATTTTTAATATCATCATCAACGTGTAGGTAAAGAATTTTGTGAAGAAATTTTCAAAATTGCTCATTTAGGAGTTTATTGGAGCAATTCATGTTCATTCAGCAGCTTCTGAGGTTCAGATGTTTTCTCATGATGATGTATTTTAGCAGGGCCTGGAAATCTCATGTTTATTGCACAATTTGATAACTTTTTTCTGTATCTCTTAGCAATTGTAATGTGTTGTGTATTACAGAGTTTGGAGTTTTTATAATAGAATCTTACTGCAAATGAATGTGTGAATGATGTGACAAATAAATTGTGACCAGACTCTCCTCTGGTGTTTGTTTTCTCTTATAAACCACAGAGCAGTTTCAAATGCCATAGTGAATATTAAAATCAAGGCAACTCTTGATGGTGGTCAAATGCTGTGATAATGAAAATCTTTTTGAATAAAATTTCTCAGCCACTGAATGCAATCAGTTTTAATAATTAGTAGAATTATTGTAAAAAACCTCTCTATGCACAGTGGGAGCAAGAATTTGGTTTGATTAAATTCTGAGATTGTTTCAGTGCAGTTATGTATGCAACACCAGTAATAATAGTTGAGAGGGAACATAATTGATCCAAGAAATTCCTGCTGGGCCTGGGACCCTTTTCATGACAGAATTCAGAAATTTAAAGATGGGCAAGAAGGAAATGCCAGTCTTGGAGGCACTGGGTGAATATTTAATTTTCAAAGGAAAGAATTGAGTCCCCAGTATCATACCATGGCAGAAATGTCCAAGGATAGATGGACAGCCTGTGGCAGCAACATAGCCTGAAAAACAGGGCTGTGAGCAGAAGAATTAAAGCATCAAGGAAAGTTTTAGGCTTGAACATGAAGAGAAGTTGGAGAGTCTGGAGCAAGAAGAGTGATAAGATGGGATTTTTGCTAAAACATATGTTTAAAGCAACTTCTCCTGCTGAAGGGATGATGACTGGCAAGGGAGTGGAGTTTTTAATGATGACACTGCCAAGAGGGATGGGATCCTGTTCTTCCCCACAGGGGATACAGCAAATAATGACCTTTGCAGATAGCAAGGGAATTTTACATTAGGCAAAGACACTGAAACTCTGCAATAGCTTTTTAAAGAAAATGTTCAAAAATGAGACAAACAAGATTATTTTTAATGAGTCATTTGTGTCCAGCTCTTATGAAACCATATGGTTCTATTAGTAAGCAAGTTTCTTGAGCATTTTGCTGCTTGAAAGTATAGCATAACATGGTTTTATTATGTTAGGAATTGCTCAAGTAAAGCAAATGTGATGCTGCTTGGCAAAGTCAGAACACAGTATCCAGAACAACTGTTTGAAAAATTCTGGGCCCCTTTTTAATGATATTCAGTTTCATCCCTGCAAAGGCACGTTCTTCAGCCCTTGAAAGGTTTTCAAGAGTGAATAAGTGATCTCTCTTGAACAACCTGGAAGTACCACAGCATCAGCTAAAAATAGTTTTCAAGAAGGCTCAATATAGAGGTTAAAATAACCAGATTTTATTTATTATTTGAATGCCTAGTTCCCTCCATTCAGTGTCAAAAAAGCTCTCTATACTCTCAAAATGTATATTTTTAATGGACAGACTGCTCTGTGGTTCACTGCAATTCCTTATAGGGTGGATTGGGAGTGAAGCTGCAAACCTTCCATAAAAGCTTCAAATGCAACCTGATGCTTTTATTTGACTGTTGGGATTTTGGCTTTTTATGCTTGGCTTCCCCAGCTGTGTGTTGTGTAGGCCAAGCTACATCCCAGCCCTGCTTTGTCAATCTGCTCTCTGGAGTTCTTGATGTGGGGCAGGCATTTAATCCTGAAATCCTTACACACAGATGGAGGTGCTAATTCAGAGTTTCTGAGTTAGCAGGACACAATTTCCCATGTTGTGTGGCAGCTGGTGCTGTGCTTAGTGGCTCCAGTTCATCTCACCTTGTGTGTGTTTCCTTTATCCTTTGCTTGTTCACCACTCAGATCTGTTAAGTCATGGAAACTTTCAGTGGTTTCATGGTTGGAGATGTAGTTAAAGATGTGCCTGCTTTTCAGGGTGCCTAAAAGTTTTACTGAGTTAGAGAAAAAGACTGTAATATTTACATTTCGCAGGTTCTCCATCAGAATTTGATATTATAATTTAGAGGGAAAATGGCAGAAATATGTATTTCAATCTGCTAAGGATAGCTTTTCATCAGTAGTGGAAACAAAATTTGTTTTTTACTGTTGATAATATCTGCCAATATCTGAGACACAATGACAGCAAATTATAATTGGGTTTTTTTACTTGCTCTTGCAAAAACTCAAATCTGATTTCCTTTTGGTTTACAACTGAGACTTCATTGCTTAAGTACTGTCTGAGGTGCTGAGCTATTTTTGTTTAGTCATTACATGAAATTGTATTTTATAATTTACCTCCTTAGCTGTCATTTCAGAATGGAAGTTATCATTGCTTTCATTATCTGGATTAATTTTTTTTTTCCCTTTTTCATTTTATTGTTTCTATTTTACATTTTTGCCTCCACATGAGTAAGAAACATTAGCCTACTAACTCCTGGGCCTAAAAAGTCAAATCAAACTAAAAAGACTCTAAGCATTGATTCTTCCCTTAGGCCTTTAGTGAAAAAAGCTCAGGAAAAATGTTAATGAAAACACTTCTCCCCCCACTGTAACATAAAGATTATGGTTTATGTAGAAAGTCTTCCAAATTTAATTGGTGTTTCTTCTATTTAGCTGCCGGAGCAGAAGTGCATGGGAAATATCACTGAAACAACTGGGGATTTAGGCTTGGCTTTGTTTTTTAAATATCTAAGCAAAATTATGTCTTCCATTTATGCACAAGTTCTGCCTCATGGGGAGAAGCTTCATTAACCACACCTCAAATATATCTTCAGTTATTTAGTCATGACAACAGATCCCTTTAACCTTTGTTTGTGCTGCTCTGGGGGTTGAGATGGGGTGGGTGCAGCCCTTGTCACACTGCAGTGCCTGATCTGCTGCCTGAGTCTGGGCCAGATCTTTCCTCTTCCAATACCAAATTCTGCTTCAGATCTCTGCTCTGCCCACTTTTGATTGTGGTTCAGATCTCTGAATTTCCAATACCCAGTTTTGGTTGGGATCTCTGCTCTGCCCACACCCAGTTCTGGTTTAGATCTCTGCTCTTCCAATATCCAGTTCTGGGTCAGATCTCTGCTCTGCCCACTTTTAATTCTGGTTCAGATCTCTGCTCTTCCAACACCTAATTCTGATTGGAATCTCTGCTCTACCCACACCCAATTCCGGTTCAGATCTGTGCTCTTCCAACACCCAATTCTGGTTGGGATCTCTGCTCTGCCCATACCCAATTCTGGTTGGGATCTCTTCTCTCCCTGTACCCAATTCTGGGTCAGATCTCTGCTCTGCCCACACCCAATTCTGATTCAGATCTCAGCCCTGCTGTTGGTACAGAGGATGCTGTGTCGGTGAAGAACTGACAGAACATCCCTGAGGAGCCCCTCATCTGCTCCCAAGTCCTTCCCTGGGTGTCACCCCGTGCTCCCTCAGCTTCCTGCACCCAGAGGGGCTGGCAGAGCAGCCTTGTGCTGGTAGATATTCCCTCTGAGGATGTTCCCTGTGATCCTTGGCTCTGCTTGCTGGTGGGCAGGAGGGGGGCTGTCCCAGGAGCATCATCAGGAATGCCCTGGAATGGGGTATAAGGGATAAGGAATTGATGTTGAAAGTTCTCCCACTCTGTCCTGCAGCTCAATGAAATCTTGAAGGGCTTCAAGGATCTACTTGTTGAACCACTTATTTACCATAAAGTGCAGATACATCTAAATAGTAAAATTGTCCTAATTATCTCCTGTAATTGCCTTACTACATTAATTGGTTCCATACCAGGGCTCAGCCCCAAACCCTGCTGTGCTCCCAGGCCTCCAGGCAGAGCAGTTGCCAGCAGGTTCTAGGCTGCCACTGGGGATCCCATGATCTGACCCTAAACTGCTAATGGAGATGGATTGCAGATGGTTCAGTGTAAGGAAACATTCTGTTGATAGTTTTGGGTGATTCTCCTTCTCATTTTGATATCCTTTTAACTCTAAGCAAGTCTGCTGTTGAAACTTAGGTAGTTTGTCTTGAACAATCTTCTTTATACCTGTTGTTTCTCTCAGGTGTGTTATGTGCCAGTTTTCATGGACACTGAATGTCCTTCCTTATTGCCTCTATAAAGGAGCATGAAAATATGCCAGAAAAAATACTGCAGATCTGACAAGAATTCAAGTAATGTGCTCTGCCCACTGTGAGGGACCTGCTGGTCCCCTCATGTCCCTTGCCACTGTGCCATCAGTACAAAAGTGTCTTAAATAAGAGACTACGAAGGCCAGAAAATGTCGATCTTGTTTTCTACAAATGTGGTGAGACAATCTGAGTTTGTAGATGAAATCAATCCTCTGGGATGATGCCTTCACTTTTAAGCTAAGTTGGGAATTCAGATATAATAATATTCTTACCTGGAAATTCTACAAATTCAAGATGATAAGATTTTTAATCTTTAATTTTTTTTTGTGAGGCAGAATACTTTCCTTTCTATCTTAAAGCCACCATACAGAGAAGAGACACCAGCTGCAGATTTCTTCTGGCGAGTGCTGAGCCTTAGACTCTGTTCTTGGGTTTAAATCGGAGAAAAAAAAGGAATGCTAGCAGGTCTGACATTGTTAAATTCAAAGTGCCAGTTCATCTAACTGTAGGTTCAAGGTAACTGTCCTTTGTATCATTAATGTACATCCTTAGATCAAATGATTTGGTTTTGTTCAGAAGACATCAGTTCACAGCACAGTCTGCAGTGTGCTCCCTAGTCTGAGACTTCTCATGTTCTGTACTTAAAGTTAGGATGCTGTATTTTGGTTTCACTGAGCGTTTGGAGGCAGAGAAGACTTGGCTGTGGTGAGG